TGAACATTCAAAGAAGAAATAAGCTAAATTTACCTCGAAAACTAGACGTGATACATAGTGTGGTGGATCTATGAATGGTACTTTTAGTACCATTAATATCGGCGCAAGTGTTACATCATGACCAGAGAAGACCTAAAATTAAAATTGTTGAGCGAATGCTATCTTTGCACTGTATGGAAGCAATAGATAGGACCTGCGTAGATTGTTAGAATGGAATCAACAGGTCTGAGACGCGAGCGGAAGCGGCGCGGCATCCGCGACCGATGAGTAACGCACGGCCATGGATAAAGATGAACCAGCTTGTCGTCCAAAGCCTAACGCGCTTGATAGAAATACAGCGCATATACCAGCACTGGAGTGGGAGTGTCTACGGACTTAGTTAAGAGCGTCGCGGCTTTGGTCAGGCTCAGGGAGTTACATGAAATGTGTGCATAAGAGAGTACTGACGGCAAAACGGAACTCAGAGCTCACATATAACTCCCTGGGCACGCCTTCTTTCAAGCACCAAGTTGTGGACTTAAATAGGGAATAAGCTTTCACATCAATCGTACCTGAATGCTATTTGTATGAGGGAATCTTCTTAGATTTGCGATGGTTTCAGCTACATGATAAAGAACTCCGTAAGCTTCTACTAGATTCAATTTTTCCACAACATAGCGCGAACCTTCTTCATACATCACTTTTTTACGAGTTGTCGTTTCATTTAGAAGCTGAAAATACACAACATCTCAACAAAAATAAACGAAAAACGCTTGTGATTTCTACCTGGCTTAGGAACTCGTAGCTCAAACAGTACGACTTTCCGAAACAAGGGAGGGCTTTCCGACGGCACACATACCTGAAAATGGGGAGCTAGATACGTTGAGTGAAGCCAGTTCTGTTCATAAAGTTCTCTTTTGATCTGATGAAGCGGCACTCTGCGCCACTGGGAATAGTGAGATTCGCAAAAAGTAAAGACTTTTATCGATTGGCCTCTGTTTTCCTAGTATCTACCCAGGTAGGATCACTGGATAGGTATCTTGAATGGCGCAAAGAATGAGCGCGGCCTAAGACGCTGAACGCTTAGGCTGCGTTCATTCTTTGCAGTACCTTCAAGCCAGCGCCCACTACAATCTACCAGCGTACGGCAGCTTCGGAGCGAACGCCAGCGCCAGCGGACTGGAAAGTATAGATATCGATCTAGCGAATGCCAGCGCCCACCAACATCCACCAGCGGACGACAGCATTTCACTGGCATGAACTCGAGCAAAACTAACCGCGAAAACGCTAGCGCTGGCGTTCGCTAAATCAATACCCACACTTCGAGCGCGGCTGTGGTTGTCGAAACCAGAGCTAGTTTTCTTCAACTAAAGGACCGATAACGAAGTGGAACTCCAATATTACCTCCCAAGAGCAACGTCGATTATTTGGAATGGATCCTTGGCATGGAAGAAAGCGCTCTGAGTTCTAACCACGTCTGCTTCTCTTCTCAGCTGCGCTGGCGAACGTTGAACGAAATACTCGTACCGCTCCTGAAAAAAAACAAGAATAAAAACGATAGAGTTTTCAGCGCT